CATTAGCCATGTGTGGGGAACTGCGTCAAACGCTTTTGCAAAATCCAAGTATACTATTTCTACAGCCTATCCTTTTTTGACAACTTCTGTCTTTCATAAATCAATGCTGTCTATTGCTTAAAATATTTTTTTCTAGCAAAAACTCACATATGTGGTCTTTTATAAAACTCACCAGTATCTTCCCAATTATAGAAGTTAAACTAATCGGTTTATAGTTACATGCTAAAGACTTTGACACCTTTTTAAATATAGTCACCACATTGGCCTTACACCATTCCAGTGGTACTATGCCTGTCATTAAAGAATCCTTAAAAATTAGAAACAATGGCTTTGAAATGACAGAGCTCAATTCTTTAAGGACCCGTAGGTATATGTCATCTGGTCCAAGTGCTTTATTCACCTTTACCCTTTGTCCAAGGCTTTGCTCACCTCCTCATAAAAAGAAATCAGATTTGTTTGACAACTTCTGTCTTTCATAAATCCATGCTGTCTGTTGCTTAAAATATTTTTTTCCAGCAAGAACCCATCTATGTGGTTTTTTATTAAACTTTCCAGTATCTTCCCAACTATAGAAGTTAAACTAACAGGTCTATAATTACTTGGTAAGAATTTTGATCCCTTTTTACATATAGGCACCACATTGGCCAATCCAGTTGTATTATGCCAGTCATTAAAGAGTCCCTAAAATTAGAAACAATGGCTTTGAAAGGACAGAGCTCAATTCTTTAAGGACCCGAGGGTTTATGCCATCCAGTCCAAGTGCTTTTATTCACCTTTATTCTGTCTAAATATTTCTGGACCATTTTAAGTTTGAGCCATAGTGGTTCATGTGGGGCTATGTCAATTTCATCCCCCATTATAGACTTTTGCTCCCCCATGCTATACATAGAGCTGAAGAAAGTATTTAATAAATATGCCTTCTCTTTGTCCCCAATCACCCACTCCAGATTATTTTGTAAAGGACCTACATGCTCAGACCTGACCTTTTTGGGGTTTGTCCTACTCTCTTTTTCAATCTGTTAGTTTTGAATTTTTGCGGCCTTGATTTCTTTTTTAAATATTCATACATTTGTTGTAACATTTAAATAATGATAGTGTTCCTTCATTTTAATATTTTTTTAAAAACTTGTTTCTTATTATATTTAGCTTTTCTTTTTTAACTTTGCTCATGAGCCACATAGGTTTTATATTTAGCCTTTTAAACTTACTGGACATGGGAATATACACTGCTCAAACAAATTAAAGGAACACTTTGAAAAACACATCAGATCTCAATGGAGAAAAATATCATGCTGGATATCTATACTGATATAGACTGGGTAATGTGTTATGAATGTAAGGATACCCCATCGTTTGATGGAAATAAAAATTATCAACCAAGAGAGGACTGAATTCAAAGACACCCCGAAAATCAAAGTGAAAAAATTATGTAGCAGGCTAGTCCAATTTGCTGAAATGTCATTGCAGCATCTCAAAATGGTACTCAGTAGTTTGTATAGCCCCCACATGATTGTATGCATGCCTGACAACGTCAGGGCATACTCCTAATGAGACGATGGATGGTGTCCTGTGGTATTTCTTTCCAGATCTGGACCAGGGCATCACTGAGCTCCTGGACAGTCTAAGGTGCAACCTGGTGGTGTAGGATGGACTAAAACATGATATCCCAGAGGTGTTCCATTGGATTTAGGTAAGGCAAGAGTGGGGGTCATTCAATGGTATCAACTCCTTCATCCTCCAGGAATTGCCTGCATACTCTCGCCACATGAGGCCGGACATTGTTGTGCACCAGGAGGAACCCAGGACCCACTGTACCAGAGTAAGGTCTAACAATGGGTCCAAGGATTTTATTCCGATACCTAATGGCATTCAGGGTGCCATTGTCTAGCTTGTAGAGGTCTGTGTGTCCCTCTATGGATATGTTTCCCCAGACCATCATTGACCCACCACCAAAGCAGTCATGCTGAATGATGTTGCAGGCAGCATAATGTTCTCTATGGCTTCTCCAGACCCTATCACGTCTGTCACATGTGCTCAGGGTGAACCTGCTCTCATCTGTGAAAAGCACAGGGTGCCAGTGGTAGAACTGCCAATTCTGGTGTTCAGTGGCAAATACCAATCAAGCTCTATGGTGCCTGGCAGTGAGCACAGGGCCCACTAGAGGACATCAGGCCCCATGCAGTCTGTTTCTGATTGTTTGGTCAGAGACATTCACACCAGTGGCCTGCTGGAGGGCATTTTGTAGGGCTCTGGCAGTGCTCATCCTGTTCTTCTTTGTACAAAGGAGCAGATACCGGTCCTGTTGATGGGTTAAGGATCTTCTACGGCTCTGTCCAGCTCTCCTAGAGTAACTGCCTGTCTTCTGGAATATCCTCCATGCTCTTGAGACTGTGCAGGGAGACACAGCAAACCTTCTGGCAATGGTTGATGTGCCATCCTGGAGGAGTTGAACTGCCTGTGCAACCTCTGTAGGGTCCAGGTAGCGCCTCATGCTACCAGTAGTGACACTGACCTTAGCCAAATGCAAAACTAGTGAAAACAGTGAAAAACAGTAAAAAAAGATGAGAAGGGAAAAAAATGTCAGTGGCCTCCACCTGTAAAATCATTCCTGTTTTGGGAGTCATCTCATTGTTACCCATCTAGTGCACCTGTTGTTAATTTCATTAACACCAAAGCAGCTGAAACTGATTAACAACCCTCTTTGCTACTTAACAGACCAGATCAATATCTTAGGTTTTTAACCACTTGAGCTCCAGAGGATTTACCCCCCTTAATGACCAGGCCTCTTTTTGCTACTCGGCGCTGCACTAATTCAACTGATAATTGCGCGGTCATGCAATGCTGCACCCAAACGAAATTTACGTCCTTTTTTTCACACAAATAGAGCTGTCTTTCGGTGGTATTTGATCATCTGTGCGCTTTTTATTTTTCACGCTATAAACATAAAAAGGCCAAAAATTTTGAAGAAAAACAATATTTTTTACTTTCAGCTATAAAAAATATATAGTAAACTCAAAGTTGGTTATAAATTTAGGCCAAAATGTATTCTGCTACATGTTTTTGGTAAAAAAAAATCCCAATGAGTGTATATTGATTGCTTTGTGTGGAAGTTATAACGTTTACAAACTATGGTATAAATACTGCAACTTACGCCATTTTTCTGCTATACAGTGCTGCGCTAGTTTAACGGACAATTGCGTGGTCATGCAATACGGTACATAAATGAAATTTACATCCTTTTTTTCCCCAGAAATTGAGCTTTCTTTTGGTGGTATTTGATCGCCTGTGCGGTATTTATTTTTTGCGCTATAAAAAAAAAAAGGCTGGAAATTTTGAGGAAAAAAAAACAATATTTTGGACTTTTTGCTATAAAAAACATGTCCAGTAGAAAAAAAATGCAAAAATCAAATTTAGTCATAAATTTCTGCCAAAATGCATTCTGCGACATGTCTGCTAAAAAAAAAAACCCAATACATGTAAATTAATTGGTTTACGTGAAAGTTATAGCGTTTACAAATGGCGGGAAAGATACTGGGATTTTGTCAGGAATGGACTTGCCAATAATGGTGGGACTCACCTGCCTTGTGGGCTGCAGTACCAGGGCTGGCCAGCGGGTGCTCTCAGCAATCAGAGACTCACCCCTGCAGTCAACCAAACACCTGAAGCTGATTGCAGGGGTTGCATTTAAGGAATGGCCAGACTCACAGTCAGGGCCTTGGTGTGTGGTTTTCCATGGGCCCCTGTATCCTGTGTTCCTGTTCCTGTTTCTGCCTGACTTGTTGCCGACCCTGCCTGATCCTGACCTCTGCTGACTTCTCCTGTTTGATCCCTGGCTTGTGACCCTGACCATTCTCTACCTGACCCTCTGCACCACGCTGCCCGCGAGTTACTGAACCCAGCTTGTGACCCCGACCACTCTCCCGCCTGTTTCTGGTACTCTGTTTGCCCGTTTGCTACTGACCCAGACTTCCTGACGACTCTTGCATTGTATGTATTGTTATCTGTAGGTGGTTTGGTTTGTTTGCACTGTGTTTATGTTTAGTTTTGCACTGTGTTTTGTATTGTTAGTCTTAATAAATCATATTGTTTATACCATATCTGAAGCCTGCGTTTCCCTGTGTCAGTCCACACACCTCTGGTCATACCCGGAGCCCTGACATTACACCAAGGCCAATCCTGACCAGAAGTGGCTGCACAGGGAAGCCATCTTGGCTTATTGTTGCTGGGTAGGATGGATCTTGATGAGGTGGTGTATTTATCTCTGCTAGTGTTTGATGACAAAGACTATGCTTATCAGACTCTGAAGGAGTATCCCAGGGATCAACTACTAGAGTGTATAAGGATCGCTCATTGCCTAGTAGATCAGGGCACAGAGTTTTCTGAGGTGCAGCCATAGATCCATATTTGTGCTGAGTTGGCTCGGTCCTGTACCCCTGAAAGCAGGAATGACTTTTTTCACCCATTTAGTGTGGATCAAGTGGAATCACTGGTATGGTTGTTGGAGGATGATCCAGATTGCTTCCATGAGCATTATGCAGCTTGTCCATCACGTGTGCTTATGGATTGCATAAACGCAGTGCAGTCTTTGATCAGACAGGCTATGTGTAAGCTGAGTTTTGTTCAACCAGTACTGCAGACATGGGCAGATTTGTTGCACCCAGCCTCAGTCAGCTTGCAACATCATTCCTCTGCTCAAGGCACTCTTCCTGCATCCCCGACAGCACCCCCAGTGACGGCCCAGTATACTCTGCTAACTACCACATACCAGTTCCCTTGCTCCCACTCGCTGCACCTATCCTTTCTTTAACCCTGTAAAGAAGTCCTCTGTAGCAACTGCTCCCTCCTCTGTTCCATCCTCCAGCTCTTCTCTGTCTTTAGCTGCTCCATTCGTTTACACACCTGCGTTTACTTACAGTGCTCCAGTAACTAAAACCAGAAAAAAGTGAAAATTCTTTCCAACCAGTACCATCCTGCCAGTATCCAAACCGGTCAGCCTGCCGTCTGAGAACCCGCCTTCCGTGGTTCAGCCTGGTGCCTTGGCACCCGCAATTTAGCCTAATGTCTCTGCCCAGCCTGATGTCTGTACCCAGCCTGATGAACTGATCCAGCCTAATGATCCTATCATGCCAGGTGGCTTGGTGCCCGCTGTCATGCCTGGTGACCCGATGCCCGCTGTCGAGCCAGACGATCCAATGCCTGATGACCCAGTGCCCGCTGTCATGCCTGGTGACCCGATGCCCGCTGTCGAGCCAGACGATCCAATGCCTGATGACCCACTGCCCGCTGTCATGCCTGGTGACCCGATGCCCGCTGTCGAGCCAGACGATCAAATGCCTGATGACCCAGTGCCCGCTGTCATGCCTGGTGACCCGATGCCCACTGTCTTGCCAGATGACTAGGTGCCTGCTGTCGAGCCAGATGACCTGATGCCTGGTGACCCGATTCCTGCTGTCGAGCCAGACGATCCAATGCCTGATGACCCAGTGCCCGCTGTCATACCTGGTGACCCAATGTCCGCTGTCGAGCCAGATGACCCGGTGCCCGCTGTCATACCTGGTGACCCAATGCCCGCTGTCGCGCCAGTTGACTCAGAGCCCGCTGTCGTGCCTGGTGACTCGGTGCCCACTGCCTTGCCAGATGACTCAGTGCCTGCTGTCGAGCCAGATGACTTGATGCCTGGTGACCCGATGCCCGCTGTCGAGCCAGATGATCCAATGCCTGATGACCCAATGCCCGCTGTCATGCCTGGTGACCCGATGCCCGCTGTCGAGCCAGACGATCCAATGCCTGATGACCCAGTGCCCGCTGTCATACCTGGTGACCCAATGCCCGCTGTCGAGCCAGATGACCCGGTGCCCGCTGTCATACCTGGTGACCCGATGCCCGCTGTCGTGCCAGTTGACTCAGAGCCCGCTGTCGTGCCTGGTGACTTGGTGCCCACTGCCTTGCCAGATGACTCGGTGCCCGCTGTCGAGCCAGATGACCTGATGCCTGGTGACCCGATGCCCGCTGTCGAGCCAGACGATCCAGTGCCTGGTGACCCGATGCCCGCTGTCGTGCCTGATGACTCGATGCCCGCTGTCGAGCCAGACGATCCAATGCCTGATGACCCAGTGTCCGCTGTTATACCTGGTGACCCGATGCCCGCTGTCGTGCCTGATGACCCGATGCCCACTGTCGTGCCAGACGATCCAATGTCTGATGACCCGGTGCCCGCTGTCGTACCTGGTGACCCGATGCCCGCTGTCGAGCCAGATGACCCGGTGCCCGCCGTCGAGCCAGACGATCCGGTACCTGATGACCCGGTGCCCGCTGTCGTGCCAGTTGACTCAGGGCCCGTGGTCTTGCCAGATGACTCGGTGCCCGCGGTCTTGCCAGATGACTCGGTGCCTGCGGTCTTGCCAGATGACTCGGTGCCTGCCGCTCCGCCTGGGGGCCGGTGCCTGCCGCTCTGCCTGGTGGCCCGGTGCCTGCCGCTCCGCCTGGTGGCCCGGTGCCTGCCGCCCTGCCTGGTGGTCCAGAGCCTGCTGCCCTGCATGGTGGCCCGGAGCCTGCTGCCCTGCCTGGTGGCCCGGTGCCTGCTGCTCCGCCTGGTGGCCCGGTGCCCGCTGCTCTGCCTGGTGGCCAGGTGCCCGCTGCTCCGCCTGGTGATCCGGTGTCCAGCCTGATGTGCCTCTGTCCGGCGCCCAGCCCGATGTGCCTCTGTCCGGCACCCCGCCCGATGTGCCTCTGTCCGGCACCCCGCCCGATGTGCCTCTGTCCGGCGCCCCGCCCGATGTGCCTCTGTCCGGCCCCCGCCCCCGATGTGCCAGTCTTTGATATCCCGCCAGTTACCGGACCCGGGCGGTGGAACATTTTGCCCAGCTAGGACTGTTTGGAGCGTCCTGAGGCCGCTCCTTGAGGGGGGGGCGTTTACAAACTATGGTATATATATACTGCAACTTACGCCATTTTTCTGCTATACAGTGCTGCGCTAGTTTAACGGACAATTGCGCGGTCATGCAATACGGTACATAAATGAAATTTACATCCTTTTTTTCCCAGAAATTGAGCTTTCTTTTGGTGGTATTTGATCGCCTGTGCGGTATTTATTTTTTGCGCTATAAAAAAAAAAGGCTGGAAATTTTGAGGAAAAAAAAACAATATTTTGGACTTTTTGCTATAAAACATGTCCAGTAGAAAAAAAAAAAAATGCAAAAATCAAATTTAGTCATAAATTTCTGCCAAAATGCATTCTGCGACATGTCTTTGCTAAAAAAAAAACCCAATACGTGTAAATTAATTGGTTTACGTGAAAGTTATAGCGTTTACAAATGGCGGGAAAGATACTGGGATTTTGTCAGGAATGGACTTGCCAATAATGGTGGGACTCACCTGCCTTGTGGGCTGCAGTACCAGGGCTGGCCAGCGGGTGCTCTCAGCAATCAGAGACTCACCCCTGCAGTCAACCAAACACCTGAAGCTGATTGCAGGGGTTGTATTTAAGGAATGGCCAGACTCAGTCAGGGCCTTGGTGTGTGGTTTTCCATGGGCCCCTGTATCCTGTGTTCCTGTTTCTGCCTGACTTGTTGCCGACCCTGCCTGATCCTGACCTCTGCTGTCAGGAACCATCGCGACGCATGGGTCTACACATGCGTAGGTGTCTGCCGAGACGTATAGGTGGCAGAGCACTAGGACCCAGGCGCACCCATCATCATCTGGACAGTACTAGGCAGGCACTGGGACCCAGGCTACGCCTGTCAGGTGCAGGGCGGGCTATTTAAGCTAGCCCTGCACAGACACTTGTTGCCGAATGGTCTTTTGTATCCTATTACCTGTGTTTGGTGGTTTGGTCTATTGCTGGGAGAGCTGCCGGGGGGTTCCCTTTTTTAGGGGCACCCTCCGGGTGTTATTCTATCTGGAGGCGAGACACGATTGGGTGTCGAACATGGGGACTCGTGGAATGAGAGATTCACTGCGCTTTACGGTGAAGCCGGAATTTAAGGATGTCGTGGATTTAAGGATGGTCGTGGTGGGATTTGTTGCTGGATTCCCTAGGCTTGGCGGTAAGGGATATTATGTGTTTGCAGGATTTTCCGCAGCAGAGAATTTACGACATTACTTTTATATCTACCGAGGTGTGTTAGAATGCGTACGAGAAGGCCAGAGGAGCTGTGGATTCTGCTGTCATGGGAAAGTTTGAGGTAACACCACTGTTCGCAAGAAGAAAAGGTAATAACTGTGCATATGTACAACCCCTTTGCGGACTTACATCTGGTGTGGGCATTCTTGCACACCTACTGTGATGAGTTGAGAGGGGGAGAAAGAGTCCTGAACAGATATGGGATTTGGTCTGGAAAGTATCGTTTCATGGGAAGGTTTAAAATGGATCCTGACTGTGTAGGAGGGGTGCGGAGGCCCCCTGCAGTCTTTACCATTGAGAGGGGCTTTCTCTTTTACCCAGGGCAGCCTAGTTACTGCAGGAAATGTCTTGTGTATGGCCATACAAGTGGAGACTGTGAACTGAGACCTAAGTGCAGATTTTGCAAGAAAGAGGGTCATCCCTCGGGAGAGTGCAGAGATAGGAAGCTCTGTGACATTTGTAAAAAAAACAGGCCATTTGGCTAAACAGTGTGAGGAATACTTTGCAGCGAAGAGATGGGCTGCGGTGGAGAAGAGACTTACTGGACAACAGGAGAAGGTGGGAGCTAAAGGGCAGTCGAGGCCGGGGAGGAAGGCATGGGAGGTGAAGGATGGTGCGGGACCCGTTGGTAGGGATCCGCCTGTCCAGCCCCCTGTCTTTTCGGCTGATGACACTGCGCCCGCCGAGGTTGCAGCGGAAGTGAACGGAGCCGGGGTTCCGGTGTAGCCACCGGGTGTGCGGGGGGTGAGCGGGAACGCCGGCTCCGGGAACGCTGTGCCCGAGGCGGGGGAGGCCGGCACCGGAGTGGAAGGGGGCGTGCCTAGAGTCTTCGGTGGAGAGGAGGAGGAGTGGCGTCTACTGTTGTCTCCGCCGGGAGAGGAGGATCTGCAGCGGGAGAAGGACTTCATGTTAACCAGTGCCTCCGGTCCTGGAGTGTTGGAGGCGCTGATGGGTGGTCTGTCCTCGAGTGACGAGGGGGGAGGAATTTGAGGACGTTGACAGCGAAGCTAGCCTGGAATGTGGGCAGGGCTGGTGGTGTATGTGCCGGGGGCGGAGGCTCTGTCGGCCAGTAAAAGAGCGCGGGTGGAGGTGCAGGAGGCGGGCGGTGGTAGCAGCACTCCCACACCATTTGATGGGGATTCCGAGGCGGAGTCTGCCAGCTCTCCTGTGCCAAGGAGACGTCAGAAGAGTCATGGGAGTGGCTTGAGTTTGAGTATGGATGGGTCACAGATGGACCATTAATATTCTGTATGATGGCTGTCTGTGGGCTCATTTATTTCATTATGATGGCGCTGACCATTAGCTCCATCAATGTAAGGAGTGTCGTTTCTAGGGAGAGGGAGGGTAGGGCGGTGATCTTGGAGGAGTTAAGTAATGTGAAGGCAGATGTGATTTGTCTGCAGAAATGTGGAATGGGGAGAGGTCTTGAAGCGGAGTGTGGAAGCAGGGGCATCCTTCTGGGCTCCTATGTGTGGGGTACGGAGTGAAGGTGTGGGGGTTCTAATTAATAATGCTGCTGTGCAGTGTGTGTCCCATGAGGTGGTGGTGCCCGGTAGACTGCAGGTGGTGATGTTGGAATTTCTGGGGAGAGGTTTCGTGTGTTGAACTGCTACGCCCCGGCTGATAGGAGAGAGCGGTGTGATTTCCTGAATACCGTGAAATTGTGGCTGCCTGGAAGAGTCCCAACAATGCTTGTTGGAGACCTTAACTGTGTGAGGACGAGTGCGGAGAGAGAGGGGGTGAGTGGAGAGGGAGGGAGAATTGATGTGTCCTCTAAGGTGCTAAATGAGATGGTGGGGGACTTTCATTTGAAAGATGTGGGGATGGAGGTGGAAAAGGGGAAGCCTTCCTCTACCTTTCTTTCAGATAAGGGATCAGTTAGGTCCCGGATAGATTTTATTTTTGTCTCACATTTTGTTAAGATTTAAGGGGTACCGTGTGGAGCCTACTCTGTTTTCTGATCACTGCCTGATTACTGCTTCTTTTTGATTTGGAAACAGGGCAGTTTGGAGGGGGCTGTGGAAGTTGAAACCAACCCACTGGGTGAACTCTGGACACTTGAGGGACCCCCTCCCTTGTTTGAGAACTGAGGGTGGGTTGTGCTCAGAGACGGATGGTCAATTGTGTTTTTGCAAGCCTTGTGAGTACCTGTACAGGTGGAAATAGATACTCTTGATGAAGAGGGTGGCTGGAGCCTTCAGAATTGCTATGGTTATTTTACCCAGGGTGATGATGTTCTTGCAATTGACTGGACTTTGGACCGAGCACCCCCCCGACCCGCGTGCTAGCGCAGATGCTTTTGCATAAAGCGAGTGAGGATGCGGGCAAAAGACGGATGGCGATTGTTTTTTTAAGGTGGTTTGATGAAACTTGCTAGAATCAGACTGAGGGGTTTGCAAAACTTGTGAACATAATTATGGCGAAGAAGTGTGGTGGAGAGTGGAACTTGACCCAGACAGAGCTGCCTTTTTGCTGAGAGTGTAAAAGTGGGGGACCTAGAGGCGTAGTGAGGAAGATAGAGAACCGCCCAGTAGGCTACGTCGAAATAGTTCTGGCCACCATGAGGTCTAAAAGGAGAATTGGACTCCTTTCAACCTTAAGATCAGAGTTTCTTCCTGCTAGTCAAGAGGAGGTCCTAGATTACGTTGATTTGAGAAAAGAGCGCTATAGTGGAACAACCGCAACATTTTCAATTTTCTGTGATCTTATCAAGCTGGAGCTGTCTGGTCTAGGGCTACCAGATATTTATTTCAGGATTGCAGGTGTGGTCAGTGAGAGGCAAACTCCCAAGTTTATCCCTTGAACCTATTGGAACTGAGTGTTGTTTGGAGGAGGAGGAGTGTGTTTGAAGCCTTTGTGTCCTTCTTTGAGGGACTCGCCTTCAGGAAGGAGGGTTTTTTGAGGATGCTTTGGAGTGGTGGTGGGATTGGGCAAAGAGACGGATTGGAGGTTTTTTTTAAGAAATTGGGGAGTGAGAAGGCACGGGAAGAAGCGGGAGGAGAGTCGGAACTTGATAGACAGGCTGCATTTTTTGCTGCAGTGTAAAAAGATGGGAGTGGAGGTGGAAAAGGAGATAAAGGAGGTTCGGGAGGAGAGGAAGGTTTTTCTGGAGAAGGGGGCAGGGAGATTGTCTTCCGGGCTAAGATCCAGGTGATGGAAGAGGACGAACAATGCTCCAGATTCTTTTTTAAGAAGACCTTTGGCCCAAAGAGGTTTTTCAGACTGTACTGGAAGGAGGCGAGGAGGTGTATGGGGCAAGGATGGAGGAGGCGGTCAAGGCGTTCTATGATAGATTGTATGATGGGAGTGGAGGTGGTAAGGAGGAGGAGATTGAAAATTACTGTGCTGTGGTGGAAGGAAATCTGGGTGATGAGGAAGCTGAAACTCTGTTGGATCCTGTGACGGAGGTAGAAGTGGAGGGTGTTGTGAGGAGTATGAGCAGGAACAAGGATGGATTGCCCATAGAGTTCTACGTGAAATT